AAGTGGAAAATTACTGACTGTACTTCCTGCATTGTGATTCGGAGCTATAAAAGATCCCTTTATCCTAGGCTCGGGGTCCTTGTGAAGGCCTGCTGCGATGGGCTGAAACTTGGACCCCAGCTAGCTGGAAAAATAAAAGCCTCTTTTGCAGTTGCATTGTCATTGTCTTTTCTGTGTCTCCATCAGTTAGACCGATCTCTGGACCCTTACACCACTATGCCAGCTACTGGTCCCAAGAAGGTTTGTTATTTAATAATAATAATAAAAAAGCCAATATATTTTTTTTGTCCTTATCAGAAATTTTTGACAGGTGGAGGAGTTTAGTAACAGGGAAGAATAGTCTAGAATAAAGATTTCACATGAAAGTTATAATATTATGCCTCTGTCTTGGTGAAATGCAGCATTCCAAATCTTGACTACATGTCATTTAAAATCAGCTGCTGGTGTTTGTGAACAATGTCAATCCCCAAAATGTAACAGGGCAACTTAGGTCTAATGATGAGAAAACATTTAAAAGATCATCAAATTTTGAAAATGTGCTAATGAGTAACAAAATCTGATTAAAATCAAAGGTGCTATGTTCCAAAAACACTCTTTGTGATTTAGATAGTGTAGCTTGAGTTTCATCATTGATGACAACACTCTAAGGCAAATTTTGCAAGGATAAAGAAGTCTGAGTAATAAAAACTATTTATAATTGCTTTTAATTATTTTCAGGAAGCAGGGTTAAGATTTGAGGACTGAATAAAAATAAATAAATAAATAAATAACAGAAAAAAGAAAAACAGGCCATATATACAAATAGCCATTAGCTTGATAAATGGAACTATTAAGGCTTCATAGCACAAAACTTGACCTGTTATATTATTCATTTGATAATTATTTATAAATAATGTCCAGGTTATGAAACAGATAAGAACAACGATGAACATCTCCTGTTAGTTGTAGAGAGCAGAAGAGTTGGAAGTATTTTTATAGACAATATCTCTAAGAGACGGAAAATGCTTACATTTTTTCAACTTTTGTTAAGATCATCCTGATTTAATAAGGTTTTTCATCCTACTCATTGCTCAGAATTCTCTTAAGTGAGGTGTGCTTTCTATACATTGCAAGGAAAGTTGTTTGGATAAAAGTTTGGAATTAGATTTTAAAACAAAAACGAAAATGTTTCTTCAAAGGTTTCTTCAAAAATTATCTGAAAAACTTAAGTGACAAATTGAAAAGTCATAAATCATACTATTATATTAATAATAAGGTGCTATTTATACAGAATATTCCAGGATTATTCATTATTTATTATATTTGCAATACAGGATACAATCTATCTACAGAATTTTAATTAAAATTACATACAATTGGGGCCAAGAGGTGGCGTGGTGGTTAAGGCACTAGACTCCCACATGGCTAACCGTGATGGTCCTGGACATAGCAACTTAAAAAATCACACCAGGTGCATGTGCATGCCAAAACTCCTGAGAGGAGAATGGAGAAGAAGGTATTGTAGAATGGCCATTCCACCTGGGGGTGATTTCTCACTCTTCTACTCTCTGTCTCTTTCTAGCAACTGCATGGCAAAAACCTAAAACAAACAAACAAACAAACAAACAAACAAATAAGATATACAATTAATTAGAGAGAAAAGAATTTTTGTTTTATTATTCTTTTATGTTATTATTATTTTTAACTTGCCAAAGGGTGTGTGCTCTGGCCAGAGAAAGAGAGAAGGGGAAAAGTACCCCTCAGTGTGGCATGGTCATGTCATAATCCTGTCTTCATCTTGTCCCCCAGCAGCACTCCCATAGCCGCCAGTCCATAGGCTAGCCCGCTTCTCCCTTGTCTTCTAACTGTGATAGTTACAGCCATATTGAGGATATTTTAAAAGTTCGTAAAATATGCATTTCTTATAAAAACTATTCATGAGTTTAAACATTTTTTTTGCACTGAAATAAGCTTGTACTTTCATTCCATTTCCACTAATTTTCCTAAGCCGTTTCATATCATATTAGTTATCTAATAAGGTCATTATAAATCACAGAGTGATTAGCAAACTTGTAATTTAGTGTGTAAATAACTTTGTTTCATTTCTATTTTATTTCAGATTGATTGTAAACAGAGTGCTCCCACAAAGTTTCTTTTTTTTTTCTTTCTTTTTTATTTTTTTAGAGGTTTTTGCTATAGGGCACATGTGCTTGCCAGACAGACAGAGAGAGACAGAGAGACAGAAAGCAAGAAATCACTCCCCAGGAGGGATGGCCACACCACAATACCTTCTTCTCCATTCTCTTCTCAGGATCTTGGGCACACATGCACACGTGCCTGGTGTGAGTTTTAAGCCACCGGGTCTGGGACGCGAACCGCAGTTAACTACGTGGGAGTCCAGTGACATAGCCTTTACGCTAACTTCTGGTCCCCCACAAAACACTTTCTAAACACCTTAGGATTTCATATCTTTTTGCCTATTTGCTAATAGGTTTTTTCTTTAAGTCAAGTGCCCTGCCAGAGAGAGAGAGACAATGAGAGAGGGAAAGTGATAAACTACCTCCCCACCATGGGGTGATGGCCATGCCACAATCCTTTCTCCTCCACTTTCCTCTCAGGATCTTGGGCATGCGCACACACACACACAAACACAATGTGATTTTCGAGCAAACGGGTCCAGGACTTGAACCACAGTTGGCCATGTGGGAGTCTAGCAACATAACTACTACTCCATCTGTGGGCCCCAGAATTTCATTACTACTTCTTTTTTTTCTTTTTTTCTTTTTTTTTTTTTTTTTGCATATCACAGACATACATTCTTTCCTATGAGGTATAAAACTATAAGCTTGATACTTCACACAGACGCTATGATCCTAAAGAATATGGTCACAAGATTTTACCAATGGGACTACAAAACTGAGATAGAGGAAAGACATAGCAGTCCTTAGGAGACTTTACCTATTCAACATCCTACAGAAAATTTTCATTTGGCTCAAAAATAGAACCCTGATACATTCTTATCACTTCATTTTCAGAAGCTAGAAAAAAAAAATCAGTAGTATATTAACTCTAGAGGTGATTTTAACCAAGAAGGGACAGTTTACATTTAATCATGGAAGAGACACTGAGTGATAATAACAGACTCCACTACTTAGGCAAATAAATACATTGCTATACATTACTATGTGCCCTATTTGTGATACCAGTGATATTAAGAAATGAGTATAAAAATACAGGTTTAATATCAAAAGTTGCAGATGTGACTCCATCTTCCTCTAGCACATTTTTAGCATTTCATTATCTTATAAATATTTTAAAAAGAGAATAAGAAAACTATGTGCAAAGATTCATCAATGACTTTCTGTATCAAAACACTAGGAAAACAGCAAAACTAATCAACAATTCTCTGCAAATGTTGTTAAGCTTGCCTAGTGGCAGAGCTCTTCAGAACTACTCTCTAGTGAAGGTTATTCAACTGCTGGTATGTCTCTTTTAATTAATTCACTTCAAAGAATACCTCAAAAAAGAAAGAAAGAAAGAAAGAGATTAAAAATTTACTCATCCTTATTCTAGCTATCCCTTTCATTAAGTAATGTATATATCTTTCAAATTTAATATAAATCCTATGTGTAACATAAAGAATAATTCGCTAGGATCAATGACTCAAAGAGGGGACATCAAATATTTTAGGAATCCCAGATAAACCATTCCCTATTATTAAGAGACAACAACAACAACAAAATCAACCTGATGATTTCACAGATTCACAAAGGGTTCTTCCCTGATGACATAAGAAATGGTTAACTGCGCTCTTGTTTGTGAATACATAGGAATTCAGGCACTTCTGTATATTTCTTGGATAGATGTTCACAATAGTGTTAAAAGTTAGAATACTGGGGCCAGCAGATGTTAACGGTTACATCACTGGACTTCCACGTAGTTAACTATAGTTGGAGTCCTGGACCCGGTGGCTTAAAACTTTGTCCAGGTGCGTGTTTGTTCATGCCCAAAATCCTGAGAGGAGAGTAGAGGAGAAGGAATTGCAGTGTGGCCATCCCCTCTCCGAGCGTATTTCTTGCTTTCTGACTGTGTCTCTGGCAAGTGCATGTACCCTATACCAAAAATCTAAAAAAAAATAAAAACCAAGAAGACCATTTAAACTGAGTGATTCAAAATTAAGAAATGAGTGGCTGATGTTAGAAAATATTACCTTGGTAGCATGACCAAAACAAAATCTTGGTTCCATACTGTTTAAGCAATCAAAAATTGTATGGAAAAAGAAAATGTTGGGAACCAGCAGTTAGCATAATGGCTATGTCACTGGGCTCCCATGTAGTCGACCGCGGTTCGCATCCCAGACCCGGTGGCTTAAAACTCACGCCGGGCACGTGTGCATGTGTGCCCAAGATCCCTAGAGGAGAATGGAGGAGAAGGGATTGCGGCGTGACCATCCCCCCTGGGGGGTGATTTCTCGCTTTCAGTCTCTATGTCTCTCTCTGCCTGTCTGGCGAGTACACGCGCCCTATAGTGAAAACCTCTCCAAAAAAAAAAGAAAAAGAAAATGTTTTGCAAAGAGACTGTAGATGAAGTTAGAGATCATTTCTCTGGAAATATAGGGTAAACTAAATTTATTTAAGTAATGTATACCAAAGCCTGGGGTATCAATGATACAGCTTAAAAAGGGTTTGAGACTGCTACATTCTTAATACCATACTGGCCTAATTAAACCTCCTAACAGCTCTGGCATTAATAAACATTCTTAAGTGGCTATAGCCTGTGGGTAATTTATATAATGCATATATTTATAAAAGACATAATTTCTCTAATGAATATATTTCCTTCTCAGAGATAAATTTCAAATCACATAACCACAGGATGCAAGCACAGATCAGATAGTATCGTAATGGATGTCAAAATAAGCAACACGAACTGAGACCCTCTCTTCCACATGTATGAATATTTGATAGTTAAAGATTTATACACTTGGAACAGCGAAACTGTTAGTGGACACTGCAACTTACCAATACTTGTAAGGAAGTTAACATTTCTCATTACACCTTCGGTGTAAGCCCCCGGTTCATAACTGTCCATTTCGCCTGTGACAACGTGAGCAACTCTTGCTGCCCGTCCTCTGATAGCACCGGCAGCACGGTCTAAATTATCTGCATCCTGGTCTCTCAAGGCTATGATACACTTGTTGACATCTTCCAGGATGTGGCTTTCTGTAAGTAAACAGATCAGATTGATTTTTGCATGTGTATTTTTTTAATCACAAAAATCTAACATGATTATGTTATATAACCAGACAGTATGCCCATTGAGTATTATCAAGGAAAATTACAGACATATTTTGCATATATCTCTTTACTTTTTAATAGCACAATTCATGAAATATAAAACTTTACATTTTTAAGTCAATTTTTATTGATTATATGTTATTTTAGAGTCTAGTTCCAGTTGTTTGGATTTTAGATTTGTGTGACATATAGGTAGGAATTAAGGACGAGCTCTAGGCTAAAATGAAAATAGACTAGGAATGAAGGAATGCTGAATTCTGAATAAAGACATTATATAGATTATTAAACTTCAATAATATCACCTTTGTTAGATTTACAGAAAAATGAAACTACAGAGTTCCACATGTGTTAATTGACTTATAATGGGGCTTAATATGATTATAAAAATATTGCAAATTAGTAAATAATTAAAAATGATAAGAATATAATTTTTTCAAAAATATACTTTTTATATTGCAAGACAGTGACATTGCAAATTCTGTGAAAATACACACACACACACACACACACACACACACACACACATATATATATATACTGTGTCTCTAAACCTCCTGCCCTCCTTTCTGTATGATTAGGGCATGAAGACAGCAGGGAGTCATTATCATGGTACCATATTATTTTCTTTCTCTTTAATATGATTTGTAATACCACAAAAAACTATTGAGTGGAAGTGAGAAAATACATGGAATATAAACACACACTAGAAATGATATTTCTGAGAAATTAAAAGAATTAGTGTTTTGGCTTCTGACTCCATCACATGAATCTCCAACCAACACCTTTAGCGGCTCACTTGACAGCACACACAGAAAACAACTAAAAGAAGATCTTAGTAATTTCAGGACATATCATTATCTTTTTCATTTTGTTTCTCTGTATTCATCTCTCTTTCTAAATCTCTCTCCTTATCTGCTTGTATACATGTGTTGACTGTTGTTGCACTGCAATGGAAAACCATTCATAGTGCATTTCCTAAAAAAGTCAAATCTTCCACTTATGGTATAAAGAATAAAATCAAACTACCATAGAATATGGCTTCTGGTGACTATTTTAGACTTGACTCCCAGTATTTCTCTTTGGACCTCTTCTGCTTTGTTATATCTATTTTATGTTTTGCAAAATCCTCTGTGTTCCTTCATGTCTTTGTTCTGGGGACACATGAGAAGCTTTCACAGACTGGCTACCCATTTAGTCTGCTTGGCCAACTCCTACTGCCCTTTCAAGACACTGGTCAGGTATTTCTACCCCAGGAAACCATGCTGACCGCACTCCATACAATTAGACAAACTTGGTTCCATGTTGTTTAAGATTTCTATAAAATGATCTATTTGATTCCAGTAGAATTTCTTCCTGTATTTAATGATGTACTTATAAAACTCCCTCTCTAGTAAATTGTAAAATATAACTGAGAACCAGGATTTTATCTTATTCCTCGAGGTATTGTATCTAACACTTGTTACAATACTTGGAATTTGGCTAGGCTAATACTAATGTTTGTTGAGTGAATAAATGAAGCTTTCTTATAAGATAGATCTGGGAACAGTAAACTATTTTGTCTAAAATCTAAATTGTGGGTGATGAATATAGGTAGATACAGTTCTGTGACTTGAAATTCAGTAATTTAACCTATATCAACGATACTTAGGCCATTTACATGAAAAAGGTTAAACACAGAATACCTTCACTATAAATTCCCCTAGGATTTTAACCTAATTTGTACCATTCACTTATGAATGTATCATTATGGTCTATAAAAGTTCAACAGGAAGCGTATGTGTACATCATCATCATACTTCCTCTGCAACTGAAATATTAAGTTTAAATGTAGAAGGCATAATAATTATCATCTTTTTTTTAAGTCCACAGATGCATAGGTCAATGACACATTAGGAAGCTATCATTTCTAAGTACACTGGAAAGTTGTTTTTTTTTTTTTTAATAAACACAACATAAATGTATAAAATGAATATTTAATCTGTATCACTAAAGATGTCTGATTTTAGACTGCAGAGTTATTTTTGCTCCATCCTATAAAATTAAACAAATAATCCGGGTAAAAACTGTGAACTCTTAGAAGATTAATTATGTAATAAACTCTGTAATTTCTGTTCAATTAAAGATGAAGCAATAGCTGCAACAAACTACTTTTTCCTAGTCAATTTGGCACAGAAAAAAAGACTACTTGCTATGTACAAATTGAGTGGGCACTTCATCATAGAACAATGACATATATGCCCACCAATTCATTTTATCATTTAAAGCAAAGAATAAAAATATGGCAGTTTTTCTGGTTCTTTTTTGTTTTGCCTTACTGAATATTGTGTGGTTACTGCTTGCAATTGAATAATGCTGTCAGAAGCCATGGTGTTAATCATGTTGAAGAATTAAGAGAGGTAAGGTCATATATGGAAATAAAATCCTACATAAATATATTATAGGAAAAAAATAAGTGAAATGAGTGTCATGAAGAATATAACTAGACTTAACCGAAGTAGCTATAATGAGAATGTTGGAGATGACTAAATAATCTTATTAATCTAAGATTAAATATAGTGTGAAAATATTAGGAAAGGTTTGCAAATGTTCCATTATTGTGACACTTTCCTATTACCCAGAAAGTTTCACAAAATGCCAGCAACTAGAATTTCATGAAATTCTAAACATAGAGTGCCAAAAAAAGAAAACCAAAATGCTGGGCACCTCCCACATATGCAAAGTAATAAAGACTACACTAATTTTTGAAAAATTTATTGCTTTGTTATACATATTTCGGATGAATTTATGACAAATAGCTAAAAGACCTTCATGAACATCCTAGTAATATAGCCCTTAGACGTCTGAGGAAAACAGAAAACAAATGCCTTGTAAAATAAAAACTCCCTACCATTGTATTTCCAAAGACTTTGCTGAGAGAATAGATTTACAGACACAGCAAAAGTCATGTGGAGTTCTATCTCCAAATAATTTTTTCTCAGCTGTATATGCACCTGGATTCAACAGTTATATCAGTTTAAAAATAGGGTTTAAATAAGAGAATATGTTTCTATAGAACAAGCACTTTTAGAAAATTTTGTTCTGAAGGATTGACAAGTAAGATTTCTCTTAAGACAATCAGCTTAACATTTGATTTGAGGTGAGGGCTGGAATTGTGCCGCTGTTAGTACAAAAGCAGAAGTGATTTTTGTTTGTTTCTTTGCTATCAGGCTCAAGTGTTTGAGAAAGAGAGAGTGAGAAATCAGCACCCAGGGGAGATGGTCATGCCTCAGTCCCTTTTCTTCCATTCTCTTCTTGGGATTTTGGCCACACACACACACACACAGTCTGGCATGTTTTTCAAGCCTCAGGTTCAAGGTTTTAACCATACTTTGCCATGTGAGATCTAGCTACCTTTACTACCCTGCCATCAGGCTGGCCCAAAAGTATCTTATTTTAATAGCAGAGAATTACTCAATTACTATCAATTTCCATCAATCATTTTAATACCATCCTGAGATGAAAAAGGTGGCTTCTATTGAAAAAATAGTAATCCAGAAACCGATCTTCAACTAGAAGGCACTTCATTTTTGCAAACTTCTCTGGCTAATTCTACCTTCAGTCACATCAGCCAGTGTAGTACTTTAAGATTTCGAAAAACATTTTTTTAAAAAAAATCTGTAATTTTGTCTTAATTCTTCAGTTTTCTGCAATTAAAGTGAGAAACTCAAGATTAACTCTATTATGCTAAGTATGACAGAAATCAAACATAATCTAATAAGAAGAAAAAGTCTATTTCTGACCTCCAAAAAGAATTTTATAAATCTATTTATAAAATAGATTTATAGTCCAGAGAATAGACTGAAAGTAGAAGCATATTTAATTTGAAGAAGCTAGACTTTTTCAGAGGTAAAGCTTTTTCTTTCAATCCCTGAAACTAGACTTTGAATACATCGGTGGCAAAGCCTGAGGGAAAAAGGAGTTTATACGATAATCCATCAAGCCAGGAGTGATACACCATCATCAGTTTCCTCTCCAGATATCTGGATACAGAGAAAAATATTCTAAGACATAGGGAAGAACAAGAGAGAAAAGGATATTGATATTTTTTCCAAAAAAACTGAGTTATAATTCTAAATAGATCAAATTTCCAAAACTAACAAGATTAAGGTTAACTACCAATGTATAAAAGCTCAGTGGGTTAAGTTAATTATAAGAGCACAAGTTTCCATTTTTACATACCTGGATCAATAACTGTACATTTAAAATCCTTTCTATAAGCAACTATACAAATGTTCAACAATTGAAAACAATAATTTTTCTCTCCCTTTAAATGAAAATACAGGAAATTAAAAAACAAATGGCACAAGTGTGTAAGTTAATTGCTATTTATGTATCTATTATACTGAAAAGTGGTCAAAATTTCTGTTAGGCTAGAATTTCACTAGATGATTGGTTTACGAATTATTCAGTATCCCACAGAAAGATACGCGTAAGTACTCCTTGGAGAATACAGAGCATGTACATAGCTAAATGTAAACACTGTAAAAGTCCTCATCCCTCTTCCACATCCTAAATTCTTGTCTGTGTCTCTTCTCCCTCGTCCTAACTCTTTTTGTGTTAGAAAATGTAAGTGATATAAAAGAAAAATAAAACATGTCCTTCCTTGTAAAGGGCTTACCATTTAATAACCAAAAAGAACTATTTTATATGTTATTGTCCCAAATATAAATCAAAATAATAGTTATTTTATTATGTTAATAAAGTTTTGTTAGCCTTTATCAGAAAACTTTGTCCAGTTTCTGTGTACTACAGCTATTTATTTTTCATTGTGCTTTTAGACCTGACTTATCTCTGACAATAAGTGGAGGAAAAAATAAAGTCTAAGATTGCTGGGAACCAGCAGTTAGCGTAATGGCTATGTCGCTGGACTCCCCCGTAGTCGACCG